CCAGAGAGCTTACAAAACTGGATTTGACTGGCAGAGTCAGAGCAGATACTCCAATAACCTCCAGGAGCTTTCATTAAATATTCAAGGACAGTACATATTCCTGGCACTGCCACAGTCTGCTAAGATTAAAGAAAGGAAATGCTGAACTATATTTATATGTACAACTGCGTCAGACTCTATTCTTGTTCCACCTACTTTGCTCTTCAAGATCTCCAGGGAAACTCCACTGATCTATCACACCACCTTCTTCAGTTACATACATCTCCCCTCAGCTTATCGAATCCTGTAGGTAAATATCTAGAACTCCTCAAAATATCTCAATCTCACATTTCATGAGATAACCACACCAATCTAATGGCATTAAAAGTTACCGCTGTCAAAGGAGTAACTGCTTTCAGTTTGCCAACTAGAACGCTCCTCTGATCCCCTGAGGGATTCAGTTTACTATCCTGGCAAAAGAAAGCAAACACTTTTCCATCTGTTCATGGAGTCAAGATAAAAGCCAACACTAGTCCATAACAAGTCACAAAAGTATAGCTGGGAGCGAGAAAGAAGACAACACTTCAAACTGCCCAGCTGCAGATGAGGAAACCTCATCTTTAGTTCCCTAGTCAATCTAGTAAACATCAATGACTTAATTTTAATATTTAAGAAATTTCAATTCATAAAATAAATTTTCTGATTTCAAACAACCAATTACCTAATAGAAGCAGAATAAAAAAATTTACAAGCTTTCGATAGCTGTCTATGGCAGGCTTCATTAGCTCTTAATGTGAAGGAATCTTCCAAGATAGCTAAATCAAAATTTCTCCTAAAATACTACAAAAGAAACACTTTAAAAGTATCAGAAAATAGCAAGGAAGACTGAAACATAGTATAACCTTCCTTCCAAGAAAGCTAGTAACTTGCTTCAGTTCGTTCACAAGGGCACCACATCTACAACTATCACTAAAAAGAGAAGTCCTTCTATACAGAAGACATTACAGGACATCTTAATCAGCAGATTTCAAATCCTTACACAGCTTGAACTGCTCTACTGGGAGTTACATATGGCCTCAACTTGTAAACTAGTGAGTTTCAGAAAGGCGCAGTTAACATTTGGTTTTAGCTACTGAAACATCATTGCATATTTTCTGGTTCCTCAAACGCTTCCTATTTTTAAAACATTTCTCCCTTGTTTCTATGTGACCGTCTAACTGCAAAAGTGGTAAAACAGAGAACATCGCACAAAGGAAGTATGTCCTGTCTTCTACCTGTTACAGTCTTAAACATCTGTTGATTTTGTTCATCCTTCGAGAACATTCACTTAAAATTATAGATTTCAAATGGTAAGACTTTCTGAAATATGTCTTAGTAGACCATTCTTAGTCTCTCTCAGGAAACACCTATTTATACAGCAAAATCTGCATGACATCTAACTCCGTAAGACAATGAAAAACATCAGCATCATTTTAGTTCATTCATGTCACTTGCAGAAAGCAGACAAAGCAGGCAAAAGTTCCAATACCAGAAACAGGACAATAAGCATCAATAAATCAGGCTTCTCAACCTGTCACATTAATAAAACGCTATTAAAGATCATTCTCCCACTGAACCTGTGATATATGAGTTCTATTTTATAATAGCAAAGAAACTCAAACACCACCATTTATCACTTCCTACTGTTAGCCTGTAATTCCTCCTTATTCTTATGCCAGAGGCGGATCCATTTTAAGATTTTTTTTTTTTCTTTTGACCCAAGTTATGCCAATGTAACTGCTTACTTGTCACTTTGTGAAACAGACCTGTGAAGCGATCCGGTTGGAAAAAAACTGCAAAGTTTTCCCCTTTAAAAAAAATAGATCATTTCTCAAATACAGTTTAGAGCACAGCCACACAAAAAACAAGCTGGCATAACAAACAGCAGTACCCGTAAAAGCGTAACAGAAGTAAGTAAATGAAAAGCCCTTAAACCGAATATATCACTGACAATGCACAAAAACAGAACTGCAGCCTCAGAAAGAAATTTCAAAATTACATTTGGAGGACTTTGTAGAAAAACAGCACATCGTCAAAGAAGTCATCCTCAGTTTATGACAATATCATTAAAAACCACAATGCAGATTCCCTCCCGCTCCAACAGCGGCTTATACAGTAAGATAAGCAGCCTATTTTGTTATATCCAGGATTTTTGCAATCATTTCCTTCTAGAGGCAAATGAGACGCCTAGGTCGCATCAAAGAAGGCTAAAATATATGGAGAGGGAAAATAAGGTTAAGCTTGGTTTCAGCAAGAAAGCCAACAAACAGATAACATTTTAAAGGCAGCAGATAACCACTATGTCCCATGCAATTAAATGGGATCCTTGTGCAACCTCCACTTCTAACAGGGAGAAAATATGTTGCTTAATTTAACCAATTTTCAGCACCATTCTGATTTCCAAGTTCACTGTAGGAGTTCCAGGCTTCTTTGGTAACCAAAGATTACAATCATTAACTGTCCCTCCCCTTCCAAATTTCAGTCTAACCACAGAAACATTTAAGAATCAAGATCCTACAACAGATTAGAATTATTTAACTATAAAACTGCAAGAAATAAAATCTTGGCGGTACAAGTGGGAACTGCGTCACATTTTCCTAATTTTCAAAATAAGAACAAAATAGAACCTTGATTTTTACCTACTATTTTTTCATTACAGTAATGAAAATCATCAATATATCCAATCTCTCCCTACAAAATAACATGCAAATTAGTCTACACATTTTTGCCTCAAAATCTTCAACAGCATTCCATCTGTTTTTGCCTACATCATTTACTCCATTTCTAATCTTTAATTTCCTAATACTAGTTCTTAAGCACATAGTAGATTCAAAGGAGTTTTAGGCAATACCATATCACATGAAAAACACAAAATAATAAATGTAAGTTTGCAAGTCTGAAAATATTTCAATGGCCCCTATGCCTGAAATAGGAAGTGTAAAACTCAGAACCTTACCAGCCTCCTCACCTTATTCTGACATGGAACTTTATATACATAAGGCTTATTACTATCTGAACTAACAAAGATATTAGCCTAAAGGCTTTTTTGCTTCAGGAAACTGAATTACTTAAACCAGACTAGAACTTAGTTCTGTTCCAAAGAAGATACTTCTGACAACTGAAAGCTTATTATAGAATGCAAAAAATGTTAGCTTCTTTCACAAAAATCCAACACATGCTTTTACACACTAAATGGCTTTTTTTTTATTCTGTCATTTGCATCCATATAGCAGAAAGATTATCTTAAACAAGGTTATCTTAACAGAGACCTTTGTTGTACTTGGTTTTGCTAACGCTGACTGTCTGCAGAGGGTGAGAGACTGGAACATACTTTTTAGTTTAACGTCAACTACGGATCTTACCTGGCAAAGCCAGCATTTTCCTCCAAAGCACCCATTACATACTGAAATTAAAATGTAGTAAAAAAGTTTTAAATGATCTGCAACTCTGCTCAAACTTCTGCATCAAGTGACTTCTGCTCCAGCTTTGCCTCTAGCCAGCTGTACAACAGTTAACATTTCAAAACAAGTCCAGACCTGAAAGTTAACATATTAAATCCTCAGTGATGGACCATAAAGGAAACTGTATTCTAGACAACACAACATATCTTGAGAAGCACTCTATAAGCCTGTCCTTTTTCACATATTTACCTTTAATTAGGCTCTGTTAACTGACTACAGCTATAAATTAACAACTAGCAAAGCTAGAAGAGTATGTCTACACTATGTATCATGACTCTAAGAGATCAAAGGCCACATGATGATGTTCACACAGCAGAGCCACTGGACTAATCTGCTCTAATTAGACATTTGTGTAGGTTAAAAAACAGCAACAACACCCCACCCAGAAACTAATGAACAGCAATACTGAGCACAACACAACACAACAAGGTAAGGTGATGGAATCTCAACAAGAGAAGATTTTTTTCTGAGCACTGGAGCAGGCTGCCCAGAGAGGTTGTGGAGTCTCCTTCACTGCAGATATTCAAAACCCGGCTGGACGCGATCCTGGGCAACGTGCTTGAGCAGGGGGGGTTGGACTAGATGATCTCCAGAGGTCCCTTCCAACCTCAACCGTTCTGTGATTTAAGGCTACGTCTGTCCCTTGATACCTTTGAATATCAGTTTTCTAAGATTAGATTTTTGGTTTTCTCCTGCAACCTGAGATGAACTCTATTAACTAGATGGAGACAGGTATTTATACACAGATTTAGGGTTCAATTTAGGTACTACTTAAGAAGATGTAGCATCAAAATTTAAAGCCAATATCACAGCTGACAGCACTTTTTGTTACCAAACTCAAAGGGAAAAAAGGTTAAACTTCCATTTAAAGTGAGGTATTTAACGTATGTTATACACATACTCTTCAGTGTTGCTAGGGCAGCAACTTCCATGCAAACATCTGCCAAATTCAATTGTATTCCATGCCAATTCTAATGTTCAGGGCCACAGAACATTTAAATGGGGGTCATAGCAAGACAAGTTTGTGAACGTCTGTGCTATACAATCACTCTTGAATAAGCCTGAATCGTGAAAGTAATGACAAACATAAGGTTTGGGGAAGACTCCTGGATTCCCAATTTTGGGTGCAAAAAACATAGGACAAGTGACCTTCAGTCACATGAAGCACGTTTGCAAAACAAGGGTTATTATAACATCCTTTGCAACAGGCTACCGTGCTATTTAAAGTCAAACTAAAAAAAAAAAATAAGGTTGCTTTGGAGTCTCCTTTTCGGTAATAACAGGTGCTAACTCCGAGTAGGTTACTTTTACATATTTCCTTGACAGTATGTTCCTACAGGTAAATATCTCAGCTTAACACGTCTGACTTGCAAGAGAGAGCCACAAATACTGAAGTACTTTGTAAAATTTAGTCCCAGCTTTTACAACGCTTTCTGGCAGAGGAGCGAACGAACATCTTACAGACTGGAGGGGTTTTCGGTTGGGAGATGAGGGTTTGAGGGCTAACAGGCAGATACTCACTCTGCAGTACCAGACGCTCAGCTGAGATGGGGATAACACTGCGAAGAAAGCTCTCTGGGGATCCGTCTGGATGTGCAGAGGTTGCTCCAGGGACTCCAGAGGACAGAGGAGCTGCTTGGGCCAGCCGCTGAGGAAATACATGGCTGCAGCTCTGCCCGTGCGCGGGGAGCGGAGTCGCGGCGGGCTCTA